TTAAATGTAGAAGTTTTTATTTAGGTACAACAATTTATTTTAATTATAAAAAGACAATAACCAACTTAATACTAAGGTCTGTTGTAAGATTAATAGTTTCTATTTACCCTTACTTGAATATCGTTTCGATTTATTTATTTTTAAATATTTTTAACTATTTTTCTTTAGCGTGATAATAGAAGGATCAATATAGCGATTTATTTGTTATTCATAACATGGATGAAATATTTCTCATTAAAATTTTTTTGAAAATTCTGATGCTTCACGTTAATATATCCAAGCAAGTTGTTAGGCTTTGTGTTGCCAATTTCTTCATTTGAAGAGGTTTTCTTTTCTTTTTTTATTCTTTCCTCGACCCTGCTATGTATTAAGTTACCCAGAACGCCACTGCGCGTCTTTTTAATGTCGTGTCCTTATCGATCCAATTCAAATTTTTGACGTATTTCTAATATGGATATAATTTATTATCAATAAGCTCATTGTTTTATTGTTTTAATCATGAAGACTAGGTATATATATAGATAAATATCTAGTTTTCATGGTTTTATTATTAATCAATTATCAATCAAGTACTTTAATAATAAAGGATAAATTTCATCATCTAAATATTTTTTTCATTTGTTTTATTATATTTTATAACATGAATACATATTATGTACAGTACTGTCAGTACTTATACGTACCTACCTGTAGTGATACAGTACCCTTTTTGTGAAATTACTTAAATCAACAAAAACATGACAAGTAGTTAGACTAATTTTAAATATGTCCTTCAATTTTGAATATTAAAAACAAAATGAAACAGAGAACATAAACTCGAATAAATAATTTTGACATGTCTGTCAAGCATCATTTGATGATTCAAAAGCAAATAAAATATCTATCCATGAACGATATGAATATAACGACCATGATGAAAAAATTCAACTGAATAAGGATGTTTTACATTTTAATATACAGTCTGATGATTTGGATGACATTAATTTGAGTTCAAAGCAACCTAAATTTCAAATAAATAAAAAATACTTAAATAATAAATTAATTTTAATTAGAATAAAACAAGAAATAACTCAATTCTTGATTAATAATATAATATATTAAATAGTTTTAATATATTGTGTTACATTATATTTTAATCAATATTTTTATACTTTTATATTAATATTAATATTTTTTTCGTGTTCAAATTATAAATTTTAAAGAATTGTATTACTAAAATATAGTAGTATGGATGATTTTTATAACTTTGTTAATTATGTAGAAATGGTTGATGAATATTTCGATGAATTTGATGTTGAACAAATGCCAAGAAAGTATATTCGTATAGAAGACCCGTTTGAAAAATACAATGACTATACATTTTTGAAACGTTATCGTTTTCCAAAACTGATTGTCATGGATCAGTTAGTAGATTTATTAGGTATTCAAGTCAATCATCGAGGATTGCCTATAACTACCATTCAAGTTATTGATAACATTACGATTTTATACAATAGCAAACTTTTAACCTATCTAATTTTAATTTGTAAAAACTATTGTTAACATTTTTCCTCTTCAAAAATATTAGGAGCACGGACGCGTTTATTTTTCTGAATTTCTTGTTATTATATAAAATATTTTTATTAAATTAGAAATCAAAATAAAATATACAAATTTAAAAATATTAATATTATTCGTTATCCTATGCATTTTCGGTAATATGAACATAGTTACACTGATAACAATGGTTATTATCACATACACTTTACATAACTATTGAATACATAAATATCGTTTATGCAAAACCAACTTATGTGGTACATAAAAATAGTTACGGGTTACATATAAATATTATGGATCACTTATATAATGGTCACTTAAGCAATTATATGTGACACATAACAACAGGACTATGCACACGAGCATAAGTCTGCAATCGGTGCGGTTCTGATTTCTTTTTTTTCAAAATCTCTTTCGTTCCTCTGCGAACTGCAGTCAATGTAAATCGACCGGAAAATGTTATCGACGGCCGTGAGGCAAACGAAAATAAGTAAATTAATTACCTATTGGCGAACTTTTTTACTTTCACTTTCGTTTTATTAAACGCATACATTATCACATAAAATAAAAAACAAATGGCTTGTAATAACCACTGTACAAAATCTGTTTCGTGTGCGGTTACTATGCTTTACGGGAGGGATAATAAACAATCGCAGTCCAAGTTCACTAATGATTGATTGAATTTAAAACAAACGTAAATAATCGGAAATTTCTGCTTTTTTTAACGATATCTTCTTACAAGTCATGTTCACCGATACATCTTTTGGAAGATAATCGTCCTCAAATTTATAATGCATTTCAACAAAGTGGTACTCTGTTGTGGTTCACGGGACGCATTTAATGATAAATGTCTGAGTGAACTTGATTGTCATGCCGTATTCTGGACGCTATAGTTCGCAGGCCGATATAACCGTAAACACCGTTGGGTGCGGTCTAACGGTGTCCAATGAACGAACGGTAACTGTACATTTACTATACTCCATCCACTTTATGAAACTTTCAATCAAATACATCCCGTACATTTCATGGTCAGGATGTCCATGTTGTATGAATATGTATACAGACTGTTCGTTGAACATCTGTTGTAAAGCCATCGGATTTGGCTTGCCCATCAACGCATCAAAATATTTCGTACTGAATCCATTTCCGATCGATTCAACCATTTCAGCGGCCGTCACGTTGGTCTTGCCCGAATTGTTCATCATCCCCATATTTGTACAAAGTCGATTATGTTTGTGTTTGACAAGAAAATTTTCGGTAAAGATGTGCGAAATAATAAACGTCTATCTTCAACGAATGCTAATCATCGAATGATGTATCAAAAACAATTTGTTGAAGATTTGTAAAATTTACGTCATCATAGATATACTGTATAATATGTATATTATGAAAACTGTACCTAAATATAATAAAATCAATTAAAATAATATGTAATAAAGTATATTTTATTTACTTTATTGAGTTTGACAATAACAAAATAGAAACTCGAACATAAAATGTACGTTTAAATATACCAATTTAATAAGAAAACAAGTCAAATTGTACATAGCTGAGTTGGTGTGACGTGTATAGTTTTATTGAAGAATAATAGTTTTATTAAATTACAGTTAGAGCCGATATTTGCCTACGCATTTAGCATGTTTTGCACTTGGTAGGTAGAAAAGCTTCATTGTACTATCGTTTTACGTTTTTACAGAATATTTGAAATACATTTAAAATTTAGTGCTAAAGTATCGGGTGGTCTTGTTAACCATTAATTCGTATTGATAAATTCGTAAAATAAGCAATGGTAATTCATTAACCTTAGACATAACTAGGGGGGGGGGGGGAAAGAGAAAACTTTTAGCACCCTGGTTTTTTTTTTTTAGACGGTGAAACACCATCGATTTTCAGCGGTTTCAGCACCCCCGTTCGCGCCTTCCGCGATACGTGGAATCCCGAAGAAAAATTAAACGAAAACTAAGTAGCGGCATTATCAAATCACGCGCCCGTCAAAATCATATATAATAGAAGAAACAATTCCATATTGCACAGGATATGAATCATTTTTAAATAAGCATATGCACAGAGATAATTTAATAAATTTAACAATCAATAAATATGTTGACATTCGTATTTTTCACGAAATTAGAAAAATAAATGATAACAATATTAAGGAAAAACGTACCCGAGCTAAGTTAACAAAGCTTATTCATTTTAGTCATGAGTAAATAATGTGTATTAAATATTGTCATTATACCGACTTATGGATCCAAATTGTGATTTATATATTTATTTAAGATTCGACATAGGTAATATCATTTTAATTATAAATTATAAGTAAATATAAGTATGATTTTGTTATTCAATATTAATATTAAAAATTAACATTAAATATAAAATATGATGAATAACGAAAAGAACTGATTATAAAAAACACCTATTATAGTTATTGATTATTTAAATTTACAATTTGACATTTTGATAATTGATAAGACCCCTTGTAACTTCAAAATAAATATTTATTCCCGTGTGATAAGTTGTAATGGCCTATCCATTCTTTTATTATCTATGAGGTACACCCACAGAGTGATTGGCACTTGTCCGAAAAATGATAAAGACCTAAGAAATGATGAGGTCCGAAATTTGAAAAAGCAGTACCAACTGACTTTTTCTAACGTCACGAATCGTATCGATTGCAGCTTCCGCTGCGACCGCCGATTCGACTCGTTGGTTGGACGATCAAATCTAGCGAAATATAACGGTCGCGATACAGAATTCGACCTTGCCGAGCAGTGGCGTGTACAGAAAATATTTTCGGGAGGGACTACTATGGACAGAGTTAAATTAGTTAAATTACCATTGCTATCTAAGAATTACTAACAAGACACAGTAGGCACTTATCTACATTTAATATACAGAATGTCCCAAAACGATTTGACGTTGGAGGCCAATTCTAAATAAGCATATAGCACCAATAAAATATAACATGCATTTAAAATAATTTTTAAGTTTTTAAAACATTTCGGGGGGAGGTGGGCTGTAGCTCACTAGCCCCTCCATATATACGCCATTGTAAATTACCGTAGTTTGGGGTGAATAGGAACGATTTTAACGGTTTTTTTTTATAGATTATGAGCTCAATTTTGATGGTATCGATATCACGAAAATTGTTTTATAAGGATCATATGTATAGAAATATATAACATACCAAAAATAAAGTTTATAAGATTCGCGTAATAACGATTGTCATAAACCGGGGAGGAGCCAGTATTTCCCAACTTTTAATAATCCGTAAACGAGTATTCAAAAGATAATATTATCTGATTTCTGAGAACACAAAATAGTAAATAAAAATTTACCATTTACTGATTTTAGCATTTGATCATCGGACAAAGTATTGTTGACTTTTTTAAATGTCTTAGAGTGGGGCATTTTCCATAGTCTGCCCCCCCCCCCAAATGACGCCCCTGGTTCCGGTCCATTTCGAGCTCTGGTTATAACTAGTATAATAACTAGTTTATAATTATAACAATAACTTGTTTAATATGAGTGCTGTATGAGCTTAAAAAATAATTCATTTAGATAATAGTTAATTGATTTCGATGACTTTTTGTCGAAATAAATACAAAAATAATTGAGAATCATCGTGCCCAAAGTTGGTAGTGTAACACGATAGTTTTTTGGCGAATTATGAAGATGGTGTATTATCGAATGGCTTTTTGTCGTTATCATATGACTTTATGTCGAGTGGTTATTAACCCGTCGTACGGCGCACACATTTGGATGTCATAATTACGCGCACGGGGTAAATTTTTACCCCAAGGTTATTATTCACTATAGTTTGTTATAATTTGTACTAGAGCTCTTAATACACGTGAATTCACGGAATTCACGTGTCACGTGTAAAATCCAAAATAAAAATGTATATCCTTAACTTAATACTGTACTATTAATATTTTATTAAAACTTCAAGTGTATAACATAAAATTACTAATCTTACCATTGTAAAAATGGATATATATTTTGGATAAACATGTATTTCACGTGTACACGTGAATTCCGTGACACGTGTTTTAAGAGCTCTAATTTGAACTTCATTGATCTATTTTTCTTGTTTGCTATTCATATTTATTTTAAGAATCGAATAACTCGATTGGATTTAATTTTAGTCTATTTTTAAAAAAGATAATAGTATTTTCCTGTAGTGAATATGGCCTCGACGCCAATATATTACGAGTATATTCGATTTTGATACCACCGCATTATGACTAAATATTATTGAACATTTCTAAGTAATAAGTTAAAAATAGGTACTTGTGAGAAATATACATAGATTCTACTGCATACAGAGTGATTAAAAAATATTAAAAAACAAAAAACACGGTGTAAATAATTTCCAGATATCACTGTATACGACTTTAATACGTTCTAGATAAAACAAAATGTACAAAAATAACATTGAACAACAAACAGTATATTTTTAGTATTATTTAAAGCTACTGAGGAGGTCAAACAACTAATTACATTATTTTATTACTTGTACACAATAAAAATAAGTCTGGTGTAATTATTTACTCCGTGCGTCGTACGACGAGTTAAATAACAAATTTTGTCAGGTGGCTTTATTTCGTACTTCATTTCAGGAACACGGACGCATGCACATTTGTCGGGGTACCATAGAATATTATATTTAAGTTGGCAACCCCACACTAAAATATTTTACATCCACGTACAGGTTATGCCCACGGTATGGTGCCCATGACAAGAATCTTCTCTACATCGTGGCCCACGGATAGATAAATTTTGTTTTTAACACAAACAAATACTGAAGTAAGATTTGTTTTAAATAAACCTGCACATAACATATTACCTATTTGGTTAATAAACTTCAGTCTGTACAAAGATAATCTATAAGTGTGGTTGATATATGGATATCGTTATAACAAGATTTAACATGGTAACCACAAATGCTTTATATCTCAATTCATGATGGGAATGCAATGATAATATAATTTATACCGATAATTTGTTAATAATAATATTATACCACAGAATAAATTAAATCAGAATGGTCACTTCTAAATGTAAACAAAATTCAAAATTCAACCACCATATTTTTGGAGTACTAATTACTTATCACACTAAAAGTGACAACATTTATTCTGTAATTGTTTTGAAAACATTGACGTTCACGTGCTTCATAGTTCATTGTATTGGCTCGATAAATATTATGTATTAAACCTTGTTAATTTCTAAATAAATAATTCTCGTATTTATTGTACATCAAAAAAATTTATTTATTTATTTACAATGGGAGGAGTGAAGTGTACTGTGATAGGATGTAAAATTCAATGAAAATTATTATTGGCATAGTTCTATCACAGAAGAAATTAAAATTGTTCCGTTTTACAATGTTACTAGTGGCAAACTGTTTTATATTTAATGAATTTAAATGATGAATTGAAATATAAAATTAAATTTCAATAATTTTATGTAAATGCTACAATACTACAGCAGGTTGTAATTAAGTAAATTATCATTATGTATTCGGTGGTCACACTGTTGCGACTCCAAAACAATGGCCGAAAGATTATTGAACTCCCTTATGTTCCCTGTGTAAAATCTTATCAGTGACCATTCTGATTTCATTTATTCTGTGATTATACTGTTTTAATATTTTAGTATTTTCCGGTTGATAAGAAAACACCAAAGAACAAGAAATATTAGGAATAATATATTTTAAACAGGATTTCATACATTTAATTATTTTAATTTTTCAAAACAGTTATTTATAAGGTAAATAATTTTTCTCATGTTAACCACACAAGACATTTTTGATATTATTGTTTGTGTTTAGGTAATTTATAAATATGGCATCTACGTCAAGAGATTCTCAAGAAGTTATAGCAAAAAAAACATGGGAATTAGAAAACAATGTGCAGACTATTAATACAGTTGATGATATTTTTAAATATGACAGACAACAGCAACAAGATATCCTGACTGCCAAACCTTGGGAGAAAGAGTATGTTCATAATATAACCTTGTTATTAAATTTAAATATGTTTTTGTCTCTCTGTGTATATGTTACGGGCAATTTAGTCCTGCCTGGGTAACTTTAATCATGATTAGAAATATTAATAATACTTTTTATTGTAACTGTACAATATTTTACCAATAATTTATCATGCTTTTATTATATTACATAACAAAGTATAAAGCATTAGTATTATATTTCTTAATCACTATTTATATTTTTTACCTTGTATCTATTGTTTTCCCATATCAGACTGATACAGTAATATAGCTATGTTGATACATTTGGACAACAATATATAAACATTAATTGTTATTTACGATTAGCTAGTCGAGTTTATGTGCTTTTTAAGAATCTTTGTACTTTATAATTATTTATTTAAATACAAAGTTCAAATTTCTCAGGAAGGACCAAATTGTCTGGTATTCCATATTGCACTCAACATATAAGAATTATATAATTCTAAATTCATAATCAATATGACTACATATACTCTTCTCATAACTTAGACTATGGATATAGTGGCTTAAAAACATTTTCTTAACTGTTATTATATCTAAACTACTTATAATGTATTCATTATTCTACTTTCCTTAGTTATTCATCATAATTGTCTTTAACATACTCATCTTTACTATATTCATTGTTTGTTTTATCTTATAGTTGTTAGTTCCTCGATTCACTATAAATTATTCCTGTTCGTTTTATAAGTAAAGTATTTGCCATTTTTTGATTCTGAACTCATCGTTATACAAAATTTAACAATTTTTAACTGAAAATTTTTTTTATATAAATACTATATCAATCTAAATCACAATTTTATTTGATATTAATTGGAAATATATTGAATTCATATTATTATACCAAACATAATAATCATAATTTAAACGTTTCCATTATTAAAATATGTTTATCATACTTACTTTTTGCCTATATTTAAAATGTACTACATTTAAAAAATATGTATTGTTTAATTCAAATTACTAATAAATACTATAAATATTTTGTTAATTTTTTTCAGTCCACATTATTTTAAAGAGATTAAAATATCTGCGTTAGCTTTATTAAAAATGGTAATGCATGCTCGATCTGGTGGTATTTTAGAAATAATGGGTTTATTACTTGGAAAAGTTGAAGGTAATACCATGATTGTCATGGATTCTTTTGCCTTACCTGTTGAAGGAACGGAAACTAGAGTCAATGCTCAAGCCCAGGCCTATGAATATATGACAGCATACATTGAATCAGCCAAAGTTGTAAGTTAATATTATAAATATTAAAATTAAAACTCTATTGCAAGTTTGACTAGTAAAAATTTAATTAAATATCATATAATTATTGCAAACCATTTTTTTTTCAATTTTTATCAGCAAATATTTCTTGTATGTTTTAGCATATTTACTTTTATTGTTCTTGACTAAACCTTAAACTAAACCAAAATATAATATATGGCACATTTAATAATAATATTTTTAACAAATTATTAAAATATTGAAAAAAGCTTTTTAACATTTTTTGTATACCAATTGACAACAATTATTTAAAATAAAAACATTATTAATTAAATTTACTTAATAAATAATTATCATGAATGTTTAATATTTGTACCTGTATGTAAAATAAGTGTTCAATAAAAGTCTAATAATTAAATCATCAAATCCCTAATTTGATTATTCAAAATATTAGTCTAGTTTAACCAATCTAATAAACAATTAACTGATAATTTTATTGAGATAATATCTACACCAAAGACAATATTCTAATTGCTTATATAATATAAAATATTAATTTACCAGTATTAAAATATTGTTAATTTCAACTCTAGGTTGGACGTCAAGAAAATGCCATTGGTTGGTATCACAGTCACCCTGGCTATGGATGCTGGTTATCTGGTATTGATGTTTCAACACAAATGTTGAATCAAAATTTTCAAGAACCGTTTGTGGCAATTGTAATTGATCCAGTTAGAACAATTTCTGCTGGTAAAGTGTGTTTGGGCGCATTCAGAACTTATCCAAAGGCAAATACCCACATTTATGTTAAATGCTCTCGAATTAATAATTAAATCAATACTTAAATTATGTATTTACAATTTAGGGATATAAGCCAGCAAATGAAGAACCATCTGAATATCAAACTATTCCATTAAATAAAATTGAAGACTTTGGGGTGCATTGCAAACAATACTACTCATTAGAAGTAAACTATTTTAAATCTTCATTGGATCGACGTTTATTGGATTCTTTATGGAATAAATATTGGGTGAATACATTGAGTTCATCCAGTTTAATGACCAATGCTGATTATTTAACTGGCCAAATTAATGATCTTTCTGATAAACTGGAACAAGCTGACACTTCTCTTAGTCGTACCTTTTTTGAACCTGTAGACCGAACCAAAGCAGAGAACAAATTAGTTAAAGCTACGAAAGACAGCAATAAAGCTACAATTGAAATATTATGTGGATTAATGTCACAGACAGTAAAAGAAGCTCTATTTAATAGTTGTACACCCAAGAATAACCAACAATAAAAATATGTTCGTATTATAAAAACTAAGTAAATAACTATTAATTCATAACATATGTACATTATTTTTTTTTATTTTTTTTTTTTTTTTTTAATAAACAAATTCTATTTACATAAATAGTATCTATTGTTCTGTCATTTATAATTTATAATTATTTATATTATGATGGCAGCAACATTATTAAGTAGAAATATATATTTTTATTAAAATATAAATTTATTATAAATAATTTGGAAAGCATTAAAAAAAAAAAAAAAGTGATAAAATAATCTATGAAATAGTACTAATACAATTTTACTAAATAAATAAATAATTAGTTAATTATTATTAAACATCATCATTAAAAACTATGTGCACAAATAAAATGTTAAATGATTAACTTAAAAAAAACAAAAATATCTACTCACTTTTTGTTTAATAACTAATTATAGAATATAGTACAATGTTATATAGTACAACATTTAAAATAATAAAAAGAAGTTAATACTTATTTTGTTATTTATTTTATTATGACTAATATCATAATAAAATAAATAACAAAATATTATCAAATTTACTTAAAATAGCACTTTATATTACAGTACTCCTATTTATTGAAGTCTTATATTTTATTCTTTTTTTTCTCTTTGGAATGCGGCAAAATGTCATAAAAAGGGTGATACTCTTTTTCTATGACAGGCTTTAATGATTGCAAATCTTTAAATTTTGTAACAGAGATGGGCAATGGTGCATTGTACAAATTTCTGAGAGTTGTAGATTCAATTGATTTACAATGCATTCTAGTTGTTTTAACTTTTTTTTGTTTTGGTAGTCGAGCCCAATCATCTTCGAATTCAGTTTTATATAGTACCTCGCCTTTATAAGTGAATTGAAATTTACAAATATCTGTTACGAGTTTGTCTCCTGTTTTTTTTCCTGGACGTAATGAAGTCAACGAGCATACACCATCATAATTTTTAAAAAATGAGCAGTCCAAAACGTTGATTTTATATGGTTTATTATGACTTACCGACCTCATTCTACTTATATAATCCCCAGGAGAATATATTGTTGATTTAAAATAGGGCTAGAGTAGAATGGAATTTGTCGACCTCCATCATAGTATGACCCTTTGTCAGAAATAACTGTAACCAATAACTGTACCAAATTTTTAATCACAGGTGGTATTTCATAAACGATTTATAGCAGGTAACACATAGGAGGATTTATTTATTGTTTTTCATTAATTATACAATAGAGGTAGCACATTGGAAATTTTACCAAAAACACCACCTATTTTTTTTTAACCCAGGGATACCTATATCTCAGTCATAAATTTGGAACATTGGAGGTTTTTTTGTGTCGAAGATATGATCTTACTGTAAAAAAATGTTTTACTATTCTTTTTTTAATATTACAAAATTTTAAACATGTAGGAAATTAAATAGATAAATCATTTAAAATTTTTCATGGTGACAATTTTATAACCAAGTTTTTCGTCTTTTAGAATCTCTTGGAAACCGAAAAAGACGAAAATCTCTACGTGAATTGGAACAGTTTACCGCTGTACAACCACCCATCTTTGGTAGTATATTAAAGTTATATTCACGTGAAATTTAAAAACTATATATATCAAAGTTTATTAATTTAAGGATGTAAATCATATCGATTTTTAGTTTTACTTAAAACAAAAACGTATCTGTAATACCTGTATTCTTAACTATTCTTTATGTTTTGATAGTAATAACTGGTAATCATTTGTCGCGAAATGGCGGACGATTGGTATAATATAACTAAGGCACTATAGAAGTAGGTATTACTTCTATAGTGCCCTAGTTAAATCAAGAATTATTCGATTGTTTTTTTTTTTTTTTTTTATTACTAATCATTCGATTATTCCCATCACTAGAAATAATCGTTTAATTAATATTATTTTCAAAATATCCATTGAACTATTGAACCTGATGATCACTACCGAAGAGTTTTGACAATCGATAGTTTTAAAAAACATTCGAATCAATCGAAACTATTGAGTATTATTTTATAGTATTTTATTGCATGAATATTGAATAGATAGTTGGTGAAAAACAGATTAAGCCATTCAATAATTTTCAAGCACCTAGATGCTAAATAAAACAATGAAATTAAGGGGAAGCCCTTATCTGCACTTAATATGGAACCTGTGCCTAGTGGTCCTTAAGAAAAAAATTTGCCCCCGGGACACTGAAATATTTGACACGGCTCTGGATCTGCCAGAAGTAAAATTCAAGCCAGTTGAATATTGTTTCAGGCAATGGTGACCGCATACTGGTAAAGAGAAACTGCTTTATCAGTGTCTATATTTTCCATAAAATATAAATATTTTATTTTTCATAAGTCACAATAAAGCGCATAGGCACTTTAAAGCAGTTTCTCTTTACCAGTTCGCGGTCACCATTGCCTGAAACAATATTCAACTGGCTTGAATTTTACCTCTGGCAGATCCAGAACCGTGTCAAATATTTCAGCGTCCTGGGGAAAAATTTTTTATTTGCGCAAATTTATTTAAAATTTATTTTATTAAGTGCAGTAAAAAAAAAAGTTTTTGTCTTTAATCATGACCAATATTGCTTTATTGAAATAGAATATGCGCTATTTTGATTAGTCGTAATCAAGCTGTCTGCCGATAGTTAAAAATTCGTTGTTCGTTTGTTAAGTTTCTACGCGAAAAAGGTCTCATTAGGCATGGTAATAAAGGATATGTTTCATCTCCATCAAAAACAAAAGTATTCTTCATCGATCTCGCTATGAATTTTTCTTCGTGGTGGCAAATTTAATTCATTGTGTAGTAACATTTTACCAAAATTAGATTCTTTAAATATTCCACTATTATTGGATCGGCCGTAATCCCCAACTTCGATTGTTATACATTTTGCATAAGCATAAACCACAGCTTAAAGAACAATTAAGTGAAACCCTTTTATTATTAAAATATTCCGAATCAGCACATAGTGGGCATTGAATTATAATATGCTTTCCATCAATAATAATAATAGCAATTATTGCTCCTGTGCAATTAGGAAAATTCCAAACTTTATTAAAGTCTTTTGAAATTTTAATCCAGCCTTTTTCTTTAGGCGTTGGCAAATAAATGGCTAATAATAATTTCCATATAACAATACATACTTCATTAACTATCAATCTTATTGTAGTAGCATCTAAGCGACGTTGAAATCTTTTGAAATGAAGATATTGAAATCTCTCTCCCTTTGCCAAATAACTAAAAATATTATAAAACATCTTGTAATTTATTATTCTGTACCTTGTGTAAATATTATCACTTTTTTATATTGTTATCACATTACTCACTATAGGTATGTTTTCTCCAAACTTTGCAAAAAGCCGATAGGCATCTTTATTTTAAATAAATAAATAAAAAAAATTTTTTGTTCAAAATTCCGAATTTACCAATATTATCTAATTATTTATATTTTTTTATCAATGAATACTTGTTCTGATTATAGAGGAAGTGAGGAGTGGATCACTATATCGTGTTAAATTTCAATGCAATGATGGTTACCTATCAAGTTTTAACTACGATCACTATCAAAAAAATTCTAACGGAAAACAGTTAGTACAATTTAAGAGCATTTGAAATTTAAATTTTTATGAAATCGGAAATTCACGAGATAAATATCGATTTTTGATTTTTGTGTTTATTTTAAAAGTAATCATCGTAAGAACTTAAAACTTGTACTAGATATTTAAATTAGCATTTTCTTAACATAAAATAATTTTCAAAGTATTTCACTAATTGTTAAGCTGCCTATTTAAAGGAATTTAAAATATTAAATTTTAATAAAAAAATTTCGCTCGAACGAAATGTTTAAAAATCATATATAAGAATCCATATAGTTTAATCTTTCAGTAGTTTTAAAATTAAAAAAATACACAGGCACATTTTTTTTATAAGTGTTTAAAGTTCAAATTCTTATGAAATCCATCAAAATAATGAAAATATACAAACTATTTTGTAGTGATAAAAGTAGAAAATTTTGAAAATTGAATACAAGGTTTCTCATAAGTTGTTAGTAAATAGTAGTGAAAGAAAAAATGTAATAAAAAAAAAAATTCTATGCTGACAGATCATCAAGGGTGTTTTTGAAGGGGGGGGGTGGCGTGAAGGAGGCATTAGCCTCCCCCCATGGCTTGTATTATTTTTTAATATAATATATTGATTTATTTAAAAAATGTAATGTATAAATAATTAAGAATATAAATTACTAGTCTATCATTACAATATGTTATTATTATAACAGAAACATGAACTGTAGGTAATGAACTGTAAATTATTTTTAAGTTTCTATTGAACAAAAATTAGTTCCTCAACATTCGAAGGTTAGTTCATAAAAGCAACCTCAAAAAAAGAAGTATTCAACATAATTATGGATTTGGAAATAGAAAATTACTATACTTCATTAATATCAAATAGAAATATTCAGTCAACAAGTAACTTATTTTCATCTCCAAATCCTAGTATACAATCATCATCACACTTAGGATTTTCAAATTATGATTTTCCAAGTCAATATCTTTTTCTAGAGACTAATGGTTGGCAACCTGGAAATTGGACTCAATAATTTGGTGAATCGAATAATTGACCCATTTCAATTCGGGAATAGATAGTATGAATAAGCAAAATATGATAAGGTATTTTTATTTGTTACTTTAATAAGTAGTTATCTATTTTTATTTTATGGTTTATTATACAGTCATAATTATATGCATTGTTTCTATTAAAGGATAATTTTTTTGTTTATTTATATATATTTTCACAACAATGATATTTGACGTCCAAAAGAGTGTTATTATTATTATAAAATGTTCGTTTAATTATATCTTCACAATTTTTAAACTATGTTTGATTTTTTTTATGCTTATTTTTAATAATATTTAATTTATTAAATAATATATATTAATTAATAATATTGGCATTTATAACAATTCTTTAATTTTTTTTTACTGCAATGTTAATTTTTATAAAACGAGAAGTTAAATATAATTTATAAATTTATAATCAATAAAAATGTTTTTATACACATTATTTGAAAATTAATATTACATAGGTACTATAAAATATAAATATATATACATATTATGTTGTATTACCTCAGCGTAACTGGTAGTTTTTCAGTAGCAGTTATTGGTTTTCTAATGTTAATGGTTAAGTTAGTTTTTATGTTTTCCTCATCTAGATTCAATATATAATAAAATTGATTCCAGCTTAACCTGAAAAATTCCCTGAATTCGATTTCGTTTCGCCACAACTGTTTTTCAACCAGAACACTGAAAAATCTATTAGCTTTCCCGGTCAAGTACATTTCATGTACTTAAATTTTATTATTTGATAGAACGTTTTTATGATGGCTTGTTATTCTTCTACTTTTTGTACAAGAAGTAGTTTTAAGATTGATTTTTGTTTTTTTGTTAAAGGCATGGTAATATTTTAAAACCACACTTATATGAATATACAAGTACAACTGTTTTAAACAAGACTTGATTAAATTTCTTGTACATGTAAATATATATACTGTATGTAAATTACATGCCTAATTCTAGTCTCATAGTATTAGCGGCGCGTCGCCTGACGCGTACATAAAACGATGGCGCGGCCAAAATTCAAATCGAACCGCGTCAACCACGCGTCTCTAGACGCATGCATAGCAATCACACTTTAAGACCATCCAAAAAAATTATGCGTATTGCATTAAAATCTGGATCCTAATAATAACATGTAATACACATTTATTAATTGTATCAAATAATTACGATTTTTTTCTTATCATGATCATGATTAAGATCTTATGTGTTGCTTATGAAAACAACCCATTTTTATAGTAATATATTATCAAACTACTTTTTTAATAGTATTATTTTTATCAATTGGTTCTAGTATGTGACACCCTTGTGATTGAATTTTTCCCATACATCCAGTCGTTAGAAAAATTTAAATGTAAATAATATTTTAGTTTGGGAATGTAGGTGTTAAGTTGATCATTCATTATGAGTTTGGGGATGCTTTTATAAATGTTTGCACTCCATGGACTAAGATCATCTCAAATATTCTAAAAAATAGTAAGCATGTGAAAAGACGTATATTCAAAATGAAAATATTTTTTACAGAAATACAAAAATAAAAAAGTATATTTCTAATTCATATGAATTTTACTTAAATATTATTCAATTTTGAATTTATATTAGATAAAATTCAACATAGGTACAAATTATATATATTATACATCATATAATTATTTAATTGTATACATTAAAAATATTTAAAATAAATGTTTGAATATGGGTAGTTAAATAATATATTATAATATACATATATGTTATAATATATATTATATTATGCTATATGAACTGCCACTTACTAATACTGAATTTTAAATATTAAATACATTTATCATCTGTTAATATTTGTTACATAAGGGGATAATTTTTTAAAATTAGATAAAAATGTGAAATTTTAGAAGTATAATAAGATTAGTATCTAGTGTCGTATAATCATTTAATTCACTCTTTCATTTATTATAAAAATAACTACAGTCATCCAAAAATATTTATTTTTCATACAAGTTAAATATTAATTAAATTACATTTTAAAATTACTTATTAATGTACTACTTTAAGTTCTACTGTTATTATAATTTATTTTACAATTTATATTTATCAATACGAATAATTTACATTCATATATAAATAATAATACATGTATTGTATATATTAATTGTACAACTATATATTATTCTTATTTTTAAGTATAGTTTGTATAATAAATAATAGATTTATTATATCTATTTAATTACAATAAAATAATTGTACGACTTAAGAACTGTAGTGTATTAATTAAAAAAAAATACATTTATTAGGTAATATAATTTTTTATTTTTTATTATGGCATTATATTCAGGGGTGTATTGGTAAGTATACGTGAGTATATGCCGTATACCCGCCAGCGGATTTTTAATTTTCGGCATATACTTATTGTAAGATATTACTTTACGGGTATAAACTTCTAAAATAACTAAAAAAAAAAAAATGTAATAGTTCATTGGAAAATATTTTTATAAACTATGAAGTCGAATGAAATATTTATCTATTGAAGATTAAAGTGTATGCTATGGTAATGGACTCGTATTTTAAGTTAAATTTAGTGTATAACATTGAATAAAATAATAAGGAATGGGCATTCAGCCCACGGTTCTTAAATCTGCATCATGCGATTTATAACGCATGGTAAATGTATATCTTGTAATTTTATATTTTAATGTTTTATTAGAAATTATAAACATGTACAAAGGATTAATCAAATTTATTTGAACGTATCGAAAAAATAAATCGTCGAGTGTAGGATTAATATCCATAATTTTTTAATGCATATACCCATAAATATATTTACCAATACACCACTAATTATATTATACATTATAGTTTTAATTATAGTTGGGAATTTGGACTAAAATAGTCGAAAAATACTTGATATATTAATATTCAGTAAGTAGGTACTTGAATTTAGTATAGATTTATATGTAACATAAATTAAATGTAACCGTGACCATAATTTAACTTGTCTGCACCAATAAGCCAATAAGGTTAACAAAATCAGTCTTGATAACTGTATCGGTAAATCTAATGAAATTGAAAAAAAAAATTTAATTACTAAGTAGGTAACAAGTAAACCTATTATTATTAAAGGCTATGAATTAGATCTATATTTATAGCAGGATCTTGTTGTCTAAAAATATAATGAATCCCAAAGTAAGTAGTATGCAAAATCGAAAATTATAAACTTAATAATTAGTTTTTAAGTATTATTATTTTTAGTATTAGTTTATAAACTTCATAATATATTTAACCTTTATATTATACATTTATTATTGATCAAATTATTAAATTTATTATTTATGAAATTCTATTTTAATGATCCATATTTTTATATACATACTATTAGGAAAAAAATATTATTAATAGACAATTAAATGAAATTTAAATTTGTAAAAATTTGTGTTAAAGATCATGACATGTTATTATTATTATAATTTAATCTATTATTAGTTAGAAATCTAAAACCTGTTTTTAAATGGTATGTTACAAACTTATAAATTTAATATAATTATTGTTGTAATTCGTTTATAGTGTTTACCGATATACAAGTGAATAATAATCAGAATGATATTATGCCAGTTAAAAACGCGATATGTTAAATTTAAAACCAATATTAAAAATATATTTTTATTCAATTGTTAACTTTTCGTAAAACATTGTTTGAATACGATTTAAATGTGACTAATTGTTATAATTATTATTGAAAATAAAATTGTATTGCACCTAAATATATACAACGAACGGGTATAAAAAAAATATCTAGTCATGTCTCATGTGTATATACTATATGTATTGTGGTTCGTAATAACTTTTTATAACGGTTGTAAAAAAAATAAATCAATTATAAAATTCTAATCCTCTAAAAGTTATGTATATTGATCATTAATTCTCGAAGAATTTTTTTAAATAACTTTTATTTTCGTTTGCTTGTATTTTAGTATTATTCATGTAAATTATTTTTTAATTTTCTTTTTTTGTGTTTCGAAAATTATTTACGTCTCTTGCTTGTTTTGTTATATGATAGGGATTTCGATGTTGTAAACTCGTTGTATTGAAACATTTGGTTTACAGGTGAGTGAAAGTTTTTCTCTCAGGACGGTGGTCCTGTTTGAAAAGTGAACAATAATTGACGACCGGCGACACAACCGCCGTTTATACCACTCGGCCACGGCTACTCCCTTCCCCTTTCCAAAAATGATTTATTTATTTATCACTCAACAAAAATTTTCAATTTTTTATTAAATATTCTTATAGTCAATATATATACTAGACGTATAATAGTTTATATATACACGCCATAATTCAGTTAAATATATATTGTTAAGTTTTCATATTATATATTTTAAATAGGTACTAGTATAGAAGATGTTTGAATTGTGTTTCCACAAAATGTAACTACTGAATTCTAAATGTATTGATTATTTAAGTAATATACTTAATAATACATGCACATATATTAATAGAGTAGTGTGTATGTAATTCATAATTATTTAGGCGTAAATAATGTTGAGTTCAGAGTGTTATAATGTATATAAATACAATAAGCTATTTTAAATTTTTTATGGTTTAATTAATATGATGTGTAAAGC